TCTCTCTCTCTCTCTCTCTCTCTCTCTCTCTCTCTCTCTCTCTCTCTCTCTCTCTCTCTCTCTCTCTCTCTCTCTCTCTCTCTCTCTCTTTGGGCGGCGGTCGGGACCCCAAGAGGGGCCAGATACTTTCGGAGAGATCAGCCACCCGCGTCCTCGCGAAGCGGCCACCACGGGTGCTCGACACGGCGTTGAGATTGATGATACAGCGCGCTTCCGCCCTTCCCGATCGCAGACGACAACGACATATACTGCGATGCGGACGTGCGGAGCCTGCTGCGGTGCACTGAGCCAATCCACCTTTATAACCCGACCCAGCGTGCCATATATTTGTGCTGATTGAGCGATTTGCTTCCCTGCCTTTAATTTTGCCGTGCACCGACCTCACGGTGTTGCCCTGGTCCGCTGTGCACGCCACCTGGCGACCGGGGTTTAATTGTCACTGGTGTCGCCAGGGAGACTCGTGCTCGTGGCGACGGTTGGTCCTGCGGTATGAAGGGGCTACCCGGTTCCACGAACTCTCCCGTAACGCGGGTGCGCTCCCCGCCCATTTTCGAACCTGGGTCCCGTCAACCTGTCTGACCCCGGGTAAGCCCGTGCCGCGCCGTCCGCTAGATGAGTCCAACAACGAAGCCTGAACCTGTTTTCGGGGCCTCCACCCCCAAGGGCCGCGCGAATCCTGCGCCTCGAGGAACGGAACTCCGCCCCCGTCTGCTTCGTTTCTCATCTCCTCTCCTCTCGTCTTTATTTTCTCTTTTCCCGAAAAGGATGACGGTTGGGCCATAGGACACCGTCCTCCCATCATCCGCCTTCGGCAACAGCCCAATCCCCGCCCAGGCACCTCAGGCCGAAGCAAGAGTCCCCCGTTTCGTCCGGATGACTCAACCCCCACGGCCAAAAATCCTCGGCCACACCCCTAATAACTCTTCGGCGTCCGAAGGACGGAACGCCGCGTGGGGCATGAGGTTGCGCATCACAGGCTTGCCTGCATGATCTGGATGCCCGGAATAGGTGACAGAAGGGGTACGATTGGGCGGGTGAGAAGGGCAGAGTAGACCAGCCAACATGCATCCAAGACTCCTCGCAGGGGCTATAGGCTTAGTGGACACTATTACCTACAGTAGGCTGACAAGTTGACAGGCACCTTGGGTTACTACCTGCCAAAAGCCTCCTTTTGCAGGACGGCACTGTAGCTGCAAACATAAAACACATAAGCGTTCAAAGGAACAATCAGTTGGCAGCGTAGGCCTGACTGCCAGAAGTCATTCTTCGCAGGCGTGCCCTGCAGCTACCGATCACTACAACCACACGTCTGTAAACAAACAAACAAACAGTTACAATGTCAAGGGACGCTGGACCCGCTTTCCAGCAGGTGTTGCTCCCCACCAATAGATGGAGCCTCCCCGGGAGTGCTAGTGGTGCCTGCTCTTATCAGCACCCCTAGCACCCGCTCGCGTTGTTCACAAAAAAAAAAA